CGCCTTTCCTTGCTCCTATCTGTTTGTTGCCACGCATCCTCTTCTACCCACCTGGCCTGTGGCAGGCCACGGCCACGGCCCACGCAGTGCTCTGAGGCCACGGCCTCACCCACTGGGCCTGAGGTAGGCCCGGCCATCTGTCCGCAGCGGTGGCCCGCCTGCGCGCCCTTGGATGCCATCTTGGTCTCCTGCGTGGCAGCCCTGGAGCCTCTAGAGGTGTGCCGCTTGCTGCAGCGCTCTGGACTGGACATCGTAGGCCGCCTCGAAGGGATTTTCGAGGAATGGGCACGGCTCCCCCACACGAACGTAGAGTACTTCACCACAACGCCCAAGGCACGCCCAAGGTACAGTCGTAAATCGGACCGTACAGGAGGTCCGAATGCATGATGACGTAACCAGTAACTCCCCCACGTTTTCAAAGCCCTGAAGGGCTGTCTTGGGCGCTCCAGCCCCTCGCGAAACCTTGGTCTGGACCGTTGGGGCGGGGGTACAGTCGAAACCGACGGTAAGGACGGGCAGTCTTCCCCAGGGTACCTTTGCATCCTTGCCTCCCCGGTCCGTCTTTAACCACCCTCGATTTCCAGCCCCACTCGAAAAACCTCGGCATGGGCCCCCAAGGGTCTTGCGTCCTTGTCGCGCATCCGTGCAAGCAGTCTTGACTGTGTGGGCAGGGGTCGTCCCCTTCCCGACTGGGAGCGCTTGGGGCTGGAAGAGGTGAACCGCTATGGGTACGCCTAGAAGGCTGCTGGGATTCCCGTGCGCATGCCGTGCGTTCATCGGATACGTGAATCCTTGAGCGAGGTGGACATCCGTGGGAGTTTCCATTTACTGTTTACAGTGTGCCGTCGACTTTCGGGAAGACCGCCACAGGGACTGAAAGCATGGGGTCGAAGGCCGACATCAGTTTTCGCCCAATTTGAATATCATGCGCTGGCGGTGTCGCCACGGATGCCAATTCGGGACACACGTCGCCAGGTCAGCAGTGGCCTCTCTTGATGTTGTGACAGCATTCGTTGTTGGGAATCGTCTCCGTTTTGTCCGTTAACGTCTCGGGCCTCTCGAGACATGAGGCTGGCCACCCGCTTTGCGTCGGTCCTCCTCCTCCTGCTCCTCTTCCTCGTCATTCCATGGGAGTAGACGAGTGAGGCAGGATAAGGATGCGAGGAGGATGCAAGGACGAAGATGAGGATGAGGCGAAGGGGGGAGGAGGAAGAGGAAATAGAGGGGGAGGAGGAGTACGATAAGGGGGGAGGACGAGGCGAGGAGGACGCTAGAACATAGCTTCGCGACTTGCAGTCAGGCGGATGTCGTTACCGACGCGCATCGGTTCAAGTATTGATCAGTGGAGCTTCGCTTTGCCCCGCTGTAAAGGCAACGCCGTCGTGTTAATGTGCAAACCCCTCTCTGGTTGTTGTATGATCGCGGAGCCTGGCTGATGGCGGCGGCGGCAGCAGCAGCGGCAGCTAGTCCTGCACAGCCATGGGACCCGCTTCCTGAGTCAAACACGCCCCAAGATCGCGATCAGTGATTCAACCTGAACCCAGCGATGTCCAGTGAGCTAACCGAGGCAACGTATTGTGGAGGCGACTACATTTACGTGAAGGTGGCGCTGAAAGCTGACCATGAATGGGGTGAGCGAGTTTCTAGAGAGACAGACGGCAGCAGGGGGTAGAACCGTTCTAACGTACTCATCGCCGAGAAATTGCGCCCGTTGTTGCGGAGCATCGTGAACCGCAACATGCACGTTGAGGGGAGTAGCTAAACACTGCAGCTGGGAGTTGCAAGTCTATCAAATCATACGAACGTGCAAGAACAACACAGCACAGCGGACCGAGTCAGATAGTGGAATCAATCGCCGAACGTCGAACAACAAGTGGCACGCGTGCCATGGCTCTTGCACACAAGGGAGGGGAAACGGAGAAGGTGGAGGAGGAGGAGGAAGAGGAGGAGATGGACGAGGTGGAGGAGGAGGAGGAGGAGGAGGGGCGAGATTAGCTGGTCGGTAAGCCCCGGGGTATGGCCCAATCTATCTCAAAATCTGTCTTCGGGATGTCCTCCAATATGTCTGAAGATCGCTACAGACGGTTCGTGTAGCCCCCGTGACGGGTGGGGGCGGTGCGATGCCAAAAAGAAACGGCTGGGGTGGAGGGGGGGCACGCTGGGGGGAAGGGTGGGCAGAGGAGCAGGGGGGTCACGCTGGTAGTATTGGGTGTTGGTGTTGGTATTTGTGTGTGTGTGTGGTGGGGGTGAGGGGGGCGAGCCGAGGGGGGCGGGGCGGTGGGGGCGGTGCGACGGCGAAATACAGCGGTCGGGTCGGAGGGGGGCACGCTGCGGGGAAGGGTGGGCAGAGGAGGAGGGGGGCGGTGGGTTCGGTGCGACGCCGGAATGAAGTGGTCGGGGTGGAGGGGGTCGGGGTGGAGAGGGCGTTGGGCGGTTGGGAAACGCTAGGGTGGGGGCGGTGCGACGCTGAAATAAAGTGGTCGGGGCAGAGGGGGTCACGCGGGGGGGAGGGGTGGGGTGCGACGCCGAAACAAAGTCGGGGTGGTGGGGGGCGGAGGAGGTCGGAGTTGAGAGGCTACTAGAGTGATGGGCAACGGTGAGGGCGGCGCGACGCCGAAACAGAGTGGTCGGGGCGGAGGGGTCGCGCTGGTGGTTGTGGTGGGTGTGGGTGGGTGTGGGGGAGACAGGGGCGGGGTTGCGGGCTTGGGGGGCGGTGCGACGCCGAAATAAAGTGGTCGGGGAGGAGGGGGGAGGGGTGGAGAGGGAACTGGGCTGCTGGGGAGGGGGGGGGCGGAGAGGGCAGTGCGACGCCAAAGTAAAGTGGCCGGGGCGGATGTGGGGCGGGGTCGGGGTGGCGCGGAGTGCAGAGGGCACTGGGCGGGTGGGGAGGGGGGAGGGGTCGTGGGGGCGGGACGGTGGGGGCGGCGCGACGCCGAAATGAAGTCGTCGGGGCAGAGGGGGGCTGAGTGCAGAGGGCACTGGGCGGTCGGGGAGGGTGGAAGTGTCGGGAGGGGCGGGACGGTGTGGGCGGTGCGACGCCGAAATAAAGGCCAGATTGAACCCCGAAAAGTTGTGGAGCTGTAGTGGACCAGGAGAGACTATGGAGCCAGGGGGTTGGTGTTACCCACAGGGGCCCGGCGTGGAGCATATGCGCGCGCCGTGTAACCGCCGACCTGGGCTCTGGACAGATGATTGGGGACAGGCCATGACCAAAATCTTGGGCATGGAAAGGCGATGATAATTGAAATGCGGGCCAAGCATCCATACGAAATTCAAATGCCGCGCCGTGGGCGGCACAGGCCCACAAGTAGGATAACCAAAATGTAAGCACCAAGCCTGGTCAGGCACGCCAAGAGTTTGTGAGGCTTGCAGCGCAACCGGAAGCCTTCAACCAGTTAGGCGCAAACATGTGTTCATAGTATGCCATCGGGAAATCAGTAATAGGGAAGCCTGGGGCGATGTGTCTGGTGCAGAATTTTATCCAGCGCTAACCAGCAAGGCTCGGCAAGTGGAAATAGAACAATGCATGGGGCATGGAGTCTGGTCAACAGTGACGGAAAAGGTATACTGCGAGAGCACTGGGAAAAAAGGACCGATATATACGCGGTTTATCGACATAAACAGAGGTGGTGACGCTAATCCTGGGACCCGATCCCGACGAGTGGCCCAGCACGTTACGTCCGTGAACAAAAAACAACGCGTTCGCTGCTACGCCGCCGCTGGAAGCGCAAAGGCTCTTACCCTCTATGTCAGCAGCTGCAGGAAGTTGTTCCAAGAAGAGGGGAAGAGACATGGGAGTGAAGTTGGTTCTCGCTGTCGACGGAGAGCGCCTGTACGCAAGTGCAAAAAGGTAATCTTCTTCGTTGAACTTCTTGGCGGGTATTGCGACCTGGGGATGTGTGGGAGGCTATTGAGGTCCATGTGTGGCACTGGAGATGCCGCCGGCAATTTGTAATACGAACATGTTCCTCGCCACAACAATGAGTTTCGACGTCGGTCTGGCCTCGCCGCTCGTGGGCGAACAATGACCGAGCGGGACCAGGATGTTTCATGGCATGAAGCTGGCGAAAGGCAACGCAGCATACTTCGGGAAAAGGGATCTGGAAAGCGACAGCGCCAGATCTGGCATGCTGGGCAGATGACAAAGACGGAGGAGGATGAAGGTGAGTTACCACAACAGGGCACGACAATCTATTCGGACTGAGTGGCCCGAGTCAGTTAACGCAGGCAGGCCTTGCGCGCAGCGTGCAATATGCGGTCAAAGAGTTAGCCAGGCACACGGTCATGCCGTCTTTCGGGTTTGTAGCAAGATGGAAAATTTGGAAGCAGATCTTAAAAGTTGAAGTTCATGCATTTATATGAACAAGTATCAGGTGCTGCCCCAGGATCTGGTGAGATGAGCAGACACGGATTGTGCCAGGCGCAAGAAAGTCGTGCATCAACCAGTAGGGATAGTCGGCCAATGCGGCGAACATCTCATCACATCTTGGACCGCCACGTAACGTTCTATGGTGGAATGGCGGAAAGAGGAACAGTAGGACCACCCAGCTAGTCATCAAGCGTGATTCAGCCGCGGCTATTGGCATAGAGAGCAGGAGGGGCTTCGGGAAAGTTGGTGTAAGTTAGGAGTGTCGATGCCAATGTACTGGCGGTCGGGGGCTGCGACGCTGTAACCGACGCATTACTCGTGCGTGTTTTTTTTCGCGACGCTACCAACATTGTTGGACAGTTGCGAGCCGTCAATCAGATCGCGCTGCAAGGAAGACACCCGTTAGCTTCCGCCACAGTGTGCTCGCAGGCCGCGATCATTCGTTTTCCAAGTCAACTTTTCATCGTGCTTTTCTCACCCTCCTGATGCTTCGCCACTGGCGCCAGATGCTTCGAGCTGCGCCGTGGCGAGCGGAAGCGGTCCAGAACGGGTGAATCAGAGCCCGTCAGTTGTGATTCAGTCGCCATAGCCAGATGTTGCTTTGCGCGTTGACGGCCAGGGCGCGCCGCGAATGAGATTCGGCCAAACAGATGCGGTGTTGGATCAGTTCTTCGATCGGCTCGGCAGCCAGGCCAGCAATCTGCAGGCGATTGCCCATGTGTGCCAGGGCGCGAACATCACCGACACTGGGCGCCCGAAGCAGGAGAAGGCCTTCTGTGACCAGATCGACCAGGACATGGCCACGCTAAGGATTGAACGCGGCGGTTCGAATCTGCGAAGAGGTTGAGACGCAAGACGCCCAAGTCGATCTTGTCCACCGCGCTAAGACCGCGGACGAGCAGGCTCGCGAAGCTACGCGCAGGAAGATTGCGGGCGACAGTGCGGCCATCGTGTAGTTGTTGCGTCCGATCGGAGACAGGGCGGGGCACTTGCCCGAGCCCGCTCATCGCCTCGCCATGGCGGCGGCGCTCGCCGCGTTAGCGGAGATATCGAGCCGCGAATGCTCCGTCTACCCTGGCGAGTTAATCGATGCAACCGTCATGGGCCCTCCAGTTGAGGTCGGGGCAGTCTCGCCTACACCTCAAGCCCTATCCGCAGCTGCGCCAGCGAAAGAAGCCGGCGGGGTGCCGCAGTTGCAGGCGACATCGAAGTCGGGGCCGCCCGTTACAGCGGCACCGATACTCAACGAGGCACCCCGCTCGTTGAAGCAGCCTGAGTTCCGGGAAAACCGGCGAGGCGCGACCGTTCCGTCATTGAGATCTCGGAGGAGCTTCGAGTCCGCTTGCAGAACCGCCCACCCAGCGGCGCGGGCGCCACCAGCAGCGGAGGTTTAACAAGCGCCAACACCGCCGACTAATGTTGCTCGCCCTCGGACACACGCGGGCCAAGGCCACGGCCATTGGCGAGCGCCGTCAGCCGCCGCTGTGTAGAAAGGCACATTCACATCTTAAGTGGAGGGCGATGACGAGTTCGGCCCACATTTCATTCGGGGCTCGGGCCGGTATAAGTGGTTACTTCAGGTCGCGCGTGACATCCAGCGGATTTCCCTCGGCTGCTGGGCGGGCGACCACCGCGCGCGCGGACTTGCCGATCCCGTTGGACAAGGCATCACGCGGGGCGACGTTCGGCGCACCGCGCCAGTTGCATTGCGCAAGAGCGATGCTCTATCTGAAGGGGCCGCCCGCGACGAGGGGCCGCCCGCGCAAGGGGGGGCGAGAAATCGGCCTTCAGGGTGGCTGCGCGTGGTTCACGGCTCATGTACGTCGGCCACCCGCGGGCGGGGTTGCCCGCGACATACCGCTTTTCCGTGGAAACCGAGGGAGCTGGAATTGTCGCTCACCGAATCAGGGCCCCAATCAAAGCGCCCCCACGACGCAAGTATTCGGCCGGGCCATTTCAGTGATGCAGGAGGACGAGGTGCTTGACGTGTTTGGGACCGCGTTCGGGGCGCTGCGGGCCAGCGGCCCAATGGTCCTTGCGACCCGGGGAATCTACGAGGAGCTCCGCAGCAGACGCGGCGAGAGCAGCACGGGCACTTTTAGAGCAAGGTTTGCGACGGAGGAGTTATCCGAATGGATGCGTTAAGCTGGCAGGTGGGTAGGTGATTTACGGTCGACGCCGCGGCGCCCCCGAGCAATTAACTTACGGTAGGACGCGCACTCCGCGCCGCGCTCTGGACGCGCGCTGGTGCCACGCAGAAGTCAAGGTTTCGTTGTCGCGCGGACGTCGCGCCGTCGACGGTCGCCCTCGCGCGCCCCGGTTGAGGATCCATCTGCTTGTCACCATTGCGAGGGGAGAAGCCGCGCGCTGGCAGGCGTGGTTATCAGCGCAGGACTTCGAGCGGCATCGTGCGCGTCGGCGAGGGCCTCCCAGGACTTGGCCCCGGACCGCGCTGGCCCCTCTTGCCTGTTGTTCGGGGAGTCAATCCGCTTGGGCCCGCCGCTCTTCGGGCCGCGGTTATCCGCGGCGATTCCAGGGATCGCCGTCGCCGTCGGATGAATCTCAGTCGGGCCCTTTCTTCGCGCGCCTTAAGCTGAGTGAGGGGCGACAGAGTGCAGCGCTGGCCCCCCCTCCCCGACTTTGCAGGGAGGCAACTGAGGACTGGCGCGCCGCGCTCCTTGGTCGAGATTGGCCCCAGGCGCGCGCGCCCGATGCGACGCCGCATCCCTTGCGGCCGATCGGAGATGTCGAGCTCCGGGTCAGATGGGGCAGGCGTTAGCCAACCCGCGCGCGGGCATGGAAATGCTCTGGATGAGGGGAGGCTCTCGCGCTGACTTCCCATGTCATCCGCACAACCCGGACCGTTCGCTCTGGGAAGCGATGGGGCGTTCCGATAACGTAGTGGTGGACAAGGGCATTGAGACATTTGTAAAACAAGTGAGACGGGTGCTTGGTTAGTTGGGATGAGCACGACGAGGCATGCCACTCGACGATCTGGCGTGACCCGGCCGATGACATCAACCGGTTGCCCTTTTCCGTGCCGAGAACACCCTGGAGTGGGTCCATGCTCGCGGCGGCCGCGCGTCTTTTCCCGCCAGGTCGGCTAGCCGCTATTACCTGCGCTGGGTGATTGGCCTCTCCCCTTTTGTTCCGTTTGCTAGCCAACTCGTCGGCTGAAGGTGATATTTTTCCTGCGTGATTTTGCAATCCGCGGCAATCAAGCATGTGGCAACGCGCGTCAGGAAGCCCGTGCACGCTTACGCCCAAACCAAAGTCGTTTGATGCCAGTGCAGTCGCGCCTTTCTTTGATTATGCATGTGGTGGTCTTGCTTATTTGGAGTCGCTTGCCACCGTTAGCTGGGTTGCATTTGCTTGATTTTGGCCACTGACAATTGTACATTTCTACCGCCACGGCTAATCCAGTTAGCTAGTTGATTCATTCTCCCCTGTCGCTCCAACCGGCTACATTTGCGAAGGGGGGCGTTTTAACATTGTGTCGCGACAGAGTGAGAGGGGTGCTCTTTGTGTTTCAGTCAGGCGGATGTTCTTATCGACGCCGTCTATTTCAAAAATTGATCAGTCGAGCTTCGCTTTGCCCCGCTGTAAAAACAACATCATCATTCAGGTCTCGTGCAAATCCCCTGCGGGAATTTGCAGAGGAGGCGAGGAGGAACATGGTCAGGAGGTGGGTGAGGCAGAGAACCGGCGGCTCGCGGCGAAGCTGGAGCAGTCGCAGTTGCGGCATGTCAAGGCCCGTTCACCCTCCGTTGTTGCTGCTGCCGGTGCTGTTTCCGATGGGGCTCGGGCGGGTGCACGGATGAGTCGGCGAAGGAATGCAGGGACAGAGCGAGGCATTGAGCAAAGAGGGTTAGAAAGGGAACGTTTACCGATACCATCACCCTTTCCATCGTCGCCGCGATTGGATTCGCCTCGAAATGCTGGTGAGAACGGACCCCGGGTACCAGTTCTGGTACATCAGAAATATTTGGCGTGGCTTTGCCTTTCTTGTTCCGCTGGAGCGGCGGGGCGTTTGTGGGTGAGGGTGACAGGGGGGAAGGGGGGAGGTCGAGGCAAGGCACCCACGGATTAAGGCGCGTGGACCAATGGCGGGTCTCGTATTCAGAAAAGGGTCCGCGCTCCGACGCCCAATCAGGCGGCATCGGGTTGATATTTCGGGGGTAAGCCTTCCCGATCCGTGGAGCTGGCGCCCACGCGCCAGATCCACCGAACCGGAAACCATGTTGGCGCGCGCCCGATGGGAAGGAGGCTGGCCTCTCTTCTGTTCTTCTCCGGCCCACCGCTCCTCCACTCCGCCCCCCAACAATGAACTCCATTGGATTCCATTGGTCTTCGTTGGCCTCCACAACACTCCACTGGACTCCATTGGACTCTGATCAGAACGACCCGTCCTGACCAGATGAGCCCCCTTGGACACATGAGAACGGCGCGTTCTAACCAGTTCAGGGTGGCACGTCTGGTTAGAACGGCCCGATCTAACCAGACGATCCTGCCAGGATTGATTAGAACCACGCGTTATAACAAATTGTTGGTGGCCTCTCTGGTTAGAACGGCCCGTTCTAACTAGACGGGACCGCGGGACTTTTAGAACCACGCGTTCCAACCAATCGGGGGGGGGGGCACTGGTTGAGAACGGGCCGTTCGAACCAGAGGTGTGCCCAACCACGACAACTCCACAGCCCTCGGACCCACGCCGAACGCGGTCTACGCTGGATCCGCGATTCCAGTCTTTTTTGGGCTCGCAGGCGCTCCCGAACACTTCCAAGCGCTCATAATCGTCGTTCTGCGCGCGCAGACACGATCCCTCATAGAAATCGATCCTCGGTCCGTTTCTTTGAGCTTCTCTTTCCGACGAACTCGCCAACAAATCCACAATCCGTCTGTTTATCTAGCCAACCTGCCAACAAGTCAGCCTACCAACCAGCCAATCAACCTACTCAGACGGGTGGGGGGCGGCAGGGGGCGAAGCCTTTCAGATCACCACCAGCGTTGATTCCGACCAGGATCTGAGAGAATAAGCTGGGGACCAGACCAACAATGGACTCTATCTATTGGATTCCATAGGACTTTGTTGGTCCCCGTTGGTCTCCATGGGTCTCCATTGGACTCCAATGGGGACTCTGGTCAGAACGACCCGATCTGACCAGATGGGACCCCCAAGACTCATTAGAACCGCGCGTTCCAATCAGTTCTGGCGAGCACGTCTGGTTCGATCGGCCCGATTTAGCCAGATGACCATCAAAGGACTCATTCGAATCTCGCATGGGACGTGGCTAGGCGGGTCCTATGCTGTAGAAACGACGGTTCTAAGTTTTGGAACCGACGGTTGTAAAGCTAGGACCCGCTTAGCCACGTCCCATACATCTTGTCAAATGGGGCAATGTTTTGGCCCCAGGACTGTCGAAGACGGATCCAGGCGAGAAATCGATTCGGATGGACTCCGGGAGGAATCCTGGGATCGATTTTGAGCACGTGGGCGTCGCGGCGCGTGGGCTGGCGCTCCAACGTTTGGAGGAGGCATCGTCTGGCAGGAGTCTTGCCCGCGTGGCGCGGCAGCAGGTCCCGCGGAGGTGGCGGGCGCAGACCCAGAGGCGGGCGCAGGCTCCCCTTCCTCCCCCTCCTTTTTTCCTCCCGTCCCTCCTGCGGATTCGCCCCCCTCCCCCCCTCTTGACTCGTTTTCCGGGGTCCCAGCTGGTCCAGGCCCACCAGCAGCTTCCAACCTCGGGCATGACCAGGGCGCCTGGCGGCACGCCGAGGGTGTTCGCTGAGGTCGAAGCTCGAAGAAGGAGCGCCGGCATCAGTGGAGGGAAGAGGCACGATGACCCTGGTCCAGACGACGCGGCTGGAGCCGTCCTGGGGTCTCTGGTGGCCCAGCATTGGTTTCAGCCAGCAGGAAGGACTGGCAGGCTCGAGGTGCTGGGCTCGAGCAGGTTCTCTTTGTTCTTGTTGTTGCTGTTGCTGCCTGTTTCGGCATCTGGGGGCCGTTCCCGGGCCCTGGGACCGTCACAACGGATGCGGGATGCGGATGGGGCCCCGACCAGTCCAGACCTTCCAGCGGCCTCCACACCATGGCTAAGATGTCGCGGGATCTTGTCGATGCAGATTTTGGCCATGGTCCACGTCGGCCGCCGCCGATTGGCGAGGAGGATCCACGAGATGACGCTGACCGAGATCGACGGTGACCAAGGTCGGTACGACGTGTCCGCGGCGTGCAGCCTTGGACATGGTCCTCGTGTTTTCCCTGTCCAGTGAACCCTTTTTTTCGGAGCTCCGCGCGGATTTCTTGGATCGGCGCTGGGCCCCCAAGGGGGGCGTTTTTCTTGCGCCGCCGCAGCGGAGCGGCGCTCTGCCAGGCGGGGGCGCCCGGCGCCGATCCGAGGAGTCCGCGCGGAGCTCCGCACGTTCACGTTGGTGCAGTTTGGTTTTCCATGTCGTTATCGTCGTCACTGTCGTCACTGTCGTCGTCGTCGTCGTCGTCGTCGTTATCGTCGTTATCGTCGTCGTCGTCGTCGTCGTCATCAGAGGCGGTGGAGCTTCCAGCCGCGCGTGAGAGTGTCCCCTTGTCGGAGTGGCCCCTGGTGCGCGGCCTCTGTAGGGCGTGTGGGGGAGCTGCGCCCAGGCACGCAGGCCCCCACTTGTCGCACCGCACGCAGCGACCGGCAGGCCGCGCACGCCAGGTCGCGCTTGCCCAGGGTAGCCCTGGCGTGTAGCCGAGAGTTCGAGGACGAACAAAACGCCAGACACAGGCTGTTGGCGCTCCGCGCGCCAGGGAGGGGGTCCAGCATAGATCCAAGACATCCGCGCGGAGCGCCACAAGTTTATGTCTATGGCGTTTTTTCCTTTTCTCAGGGTAGCGATGGCAATGGGGAGAGTGCAGAGATACATGCAGTGTGCTGGGGACGGGTAAAGAAGGAGTGGAAGCGCCCTGCGCGCTGCCCTCCTCTGCCCTCACGTTGGGAAAGGACCCCTACGAGTAGACTGCAGGCGAGAATGCAACCGCCGACGAGAGGAGGTCCCCTCCCGTGCTTGCACCCCGGGCGGCCGATCGTGAGCAAGCCTCAGCCTCGGGCGGACGCCACCCAACGATCAAGTTTGGCCACTCTTCACGCTGTTCCTCCGAGTGGTCAGATTGCGAGGCAGCCGCCTGCGAGAGCCACCCGCCGTCGGCGACGAGACACCCTCCGCGCCGTTCCTCGGGATTCGTGGATTCGATGGGTGCCACGGGCGGGCGTTAGCCGCTGGCGATTGGAACTTCCTCCCTCCTAGGTAGTGATGGTGGTGATGGTGGTGATGACGACGACGATGACGTCAACGACGGTGACGGCGATGTTGAACGATGATGATGATTATGATGACGCGGGTTGTGTTGCTAGTGATATGGGTGACGACAGCGACAACGATGATGGTGATGATGACGAGGATGATGACGACTATGGTGACGAGTGTGATGGTGGTGGTTATGGGATCGAGGTGGGTGTTGAACCTGACGAATGTGTATGTAGACAGTAGGAATATGATGATGAGGAGGTGGAGGACGCTGGAAGCACAGTATCGGCAGCAAGTCGCAGAGGCGGCAGGTGTGGGAAGACCGACGAGGAGCGGCGAGCAGGGCGAGGATGAGGAGGGCCGAGGCGCAGGAGGTGGAGGAGGACGGAGGAGAGGTGGGCAGGCCACCATAGTCACCGAGGCAGGGGGGGGCGTTCTCGAGCGCGGCTGATCGTCTTTGTCGCCGCCGCCGCCGTCGTCGCCGCCGCCGCTTCCGCTGTCGTCGTCGTCGTCGTCGTCGTCGTCGTCGTCGTCGTCGTCGTCGTCGTCGTCGTCGTCGTCGTCGAGGCGCCGAGGAGTAGGCGCTCCGCGGCGCGCGCGCCGAAGCGCAGCCCGCGGGGCCCCCCCGTCAGGCGACCGGGCTGCTGCAGCGCACCCGGGAGCGCCTGGGCGCGCGGTGCGCCCTGGAGGGCGCCCTGGCTTCCTGGAGGGCCGTGGCCCGCGCCCGGCACGCGCGGGTGGAGGAGCGGCCGGCGCCTCTCCTGGGAGGGCGGGCGAGCGGGGGCCAGGGGTCGGCCACGCGCAGAGGGGGGTGCACTGTAGGGGCAAGAATAGGGTCGGGTATGGCCAGGACCCCGGGCAAGGGGACCCGGTTAGTGGTGGGGCCCTGGGGCCCCTCCATTGGCCAGATTCACTAAGCCATGTTTGCCTCAGCTGGTGCTTCTCGGGTGGCGGCAGTTCAAGTTCGTAGAAATGGGACGGGGGGGCGCCCCCGGTACAAATCACTAATCCAGGTTCCACTAAACCCAGTTCTGCCAACGCCCGATAGGGGGGGATAGGCATAGTGGGGGAGATGCCTCGATCCCCAATCGCCCACTGATCGCCGAGAGGGGCCCCACGGCCCCAACCTGCCCAGGAAGGTGCGGATTCGCTGTCGGAGGCCTATCGCCGATCTATCGGCGATGTATCGCCGATTCCAGGTCGATGCATCCCCCCCTATGCCAGTCCCCCCCTATCGTTGCCCCTCATATACGGGGCATGGGGGAGGTTTTTAGAAGCACATCTGCTTCTTAGGAGGTGCGGGCCTTGTCTATAGATGTGCAGCCGGCGCCTTCTAAGAAGCAGCCTCCTTCTAGTACGACGGCGGCCTCTCTCCTCGGAGAGCGGGCTTGAGGGGCACGTAGTTGGGGGGCGATGAATGGGGGGCTATAATCGGTGCGGTTTCGCTGGGGTGCGGTTTGCGAGTTGTTCCGTGGCGGCCTGTCTTGGGCCTTCTGCGAGAGACACACTGTCGTCGTTCCGAGCGACACTGTCATCCTCGATTTGTGCTCCACTGCATTAGAAGGAGCGACAGTGTCATGTGATTCGGCCGCATTGGGTGACAGTGTCATCCGTTTCCCGGGGGCGGGAGGGGCAGATATGACGGGAGGCAAACCGCACCCTTCGCAAACCGCACCCTTCGCAAACCGCAAACCGCACCCTTGAGGGAGCCTGAAGGGCCCCTGCTCTGCAGCCCTCTCTCTGCGCCCCACTCATGAATGGGGGGCAGGGAGGGCTGCAGAACAGGGGCCCTTCAGGGGCACAGAGGGGGCCTTTGGGGTCGGAAAAGGGCCCTGTCGGGCCCGAGGGAGCGCCCTGCACGCGCGGGCGGAGGAGCGGCCAGCCCCTCTCCTCGGAGGGCGGGCGAGCGGGCGCCACGGGTCGATACGATCGAAATGAGCACGGAAGGAATGGGCTCGGGCGGGGCTAGGACGAGGATGAGTCCGTTCCAAAGCGTTCCGGAACGCTCTCAGAGTGTTCCAGAGCGCTCTGAGACGGCCGCGGCGCCCGAGACATCCTCCAGAGCCGCCGGATCTCAGAGAATTGCCGATTTATCCTCACCCGATGTTATCCTCGTCCTGGGGCACCTGATGGGGGAGCGGTAGAAGTTGGGGGGCAGCGAGGGCTGCAGAGCAGGGGCCCTGCATGGCCCCGAAAGGGGCTCTTTACCTTCAGGGGGCCCCTTCAAGGGGCTCGCGCCCAACGGGCGAGCGGGGGCCACGGGTCGGTACGATCGAAATGTTGGCGGCGCGCGCAGGGGGGCAGGGGGGGGGAAAGGCTTCGTAGAAGGAGACTGCTTCTGAGAAGGCGCCTGCCTTACATCTGTAGACAGGGCCCGCGCCTTCTAAGAAGCAGGGGTGCTTCTAAGAAGCCTTCCCCCCTCCCCTTACCCTTCTGTGCGCGTCGCCAAAAGTGGGCACGGAAGGAAGGGGTACGATGCCCAACTGCAGTTCCTGCTCGTGTTGAACAGGTCTCGCTGCCGTCGCCGCCGCGGGCGTTGTCCATTCGAGGCAGAAGGCCGCCTGCCCAACAGCGGCCGCAGTCGGTTTTGGACAACATTTGTTCTTGTTGCGCATCGTACCCGTTGCATCCGTACCCATTTCGGGCGTCCAAGGAGTGGAGGCCACGGGCGCGTGGGCCTGTGGAGGGGGTCCAGGGTCAGTTTCTCGGCTGCCGTTGTCTCAGCTCGCCCTGCTCCCATCTCCGGCTCTTTCTCTCTGCCCCCCCCCTTTCTTCGCTCACTCTCTCGGAGGAGTCGAGGAGGAGGAGGAGGAGGTGTCACGAGCATGGATTTGCGGGTGTCCGCGCGGAGTTTTTGGGCATCGGCGCGGACCCTCTCCAGCTCTCCCTCTCCGCGCCTCTCTCATCGCCTCCCTCCTCGCTCTCTCGGGGGAGAGGAGCAGATTCCACAGGGAATTTTCGCAGGTCCGCGCGGAGTGTTTAGATCGGCGCGGCCTCTCTCAGACTTCCCCTTTGCCGCCCCCCTCTCTCTCGAGTCTGCAGGCCAGATGGGGTGGCATAACGAGACAAGGGGAAAGGGATAATCTGGAAAGAGAGGGGACGGGTTGGAGTCGGCTGGGGGTCTGAGGGGTCTGGGTTCGAGAAAGGATTGTTGCCTTCTTTGGGCTTCCGGGCTGCCACGCTTAGTTGGTGCAGGAGGCGCCGCGCTGCTGGCCAGGGGACGCGCGACCCAGCAGAAAGGAACGAGGACTGGACGGACACATGCTGCACGCTGGTCAGGAGCCGCTCCTGCGGCCCGCTGTGACGGGCGGCATGCGCTGGGCTAGGGGCCCGCTTGCCCAGGGGGGGTGGGCGGCGCAAGGCTTCCCTGCCCACGGTGGGGTACAGCTGTGACGTGGGCCCGGACGGCCGAGGCGGGAACGCACGTTTTGACAGGCGGGGGCCCAGCGGCACCGCGGGGACGAGCGGCGGAGGGCCCCCGTGACCGGCGCGGGCCTCCGTGCTGGCAGCGGGGCCCCACCGTCCAGAGGCCCTGGACGGCTGGGGCGGGGATGCGCACTTGGCATCGGGGCGTCGACGGAGGGGGGGTGGAGGGCGCAGCTCTCCCAGTCGACGGTGTGGCCCCACTATCAAGAGGCCCCGGAAGGCCGAGGCGGGAATGCGCACGCGACAGTGGGGCCCCGCTGTCAGCGGCGAAATTGGCCAGCCCCTCTGTGGGTCGAATCTGCAATGTCGAACCCGATGGGAGGATGTACGCTCACGCGCCGGGTGGCCCCAAGGGGTCGGCGGAAACAAACACGTACACGTAGCACAGAAGGACATGGTTTCGTCCCTCTCCATGTTTCTGGTCCTGCCGTTGCTCCTCCGACCTCCCCTTCCTCGTCCATCGCATCTTTCTGCTTACCTCCTCCTCCGCCTCCCCCTCCTCCCTCCCATCCCCCGCCTCGCATTCCCTCCCCTCCTCGTCGTCTGCCCTCTCCTCGTCTCATCCGAGGAGGGCCTTCGGGCGAAGATGGCCCGCACGCGCGTCCTCCGCATGGCCTTCGGCCCCTGGCACCATCGTGCGCAACAGGCGGCGGGGCTTAGCGGTGTTTCCCTCCACCCCCCCTTGCCCGCCTTGGAAGAGGAAGAGGAGGGGGTGGAGGAGGAGGAGGAGCAGGAAGAGGAGGAGGAGGCGGAGGAGGCGGAGGAGGAGAAGGAGGAACAGGAGGAGGAGGAGGTGGACGATGAGGAGGAGGGGGGGAATGTGAGAATGAAGAATGTAAGGAAGACGCTCGAGGTAGTCCTTTTGCTTCAAATCCAGAAGCTGCTTACTGTCGATGGCCTGCACCATGGTCAGCGCCGCCGTTACCACGACATTCGATGCGCCATCTCCGCGCCAATCCAAAACTTGCGCCGCGCGCCGGTTCAAATCCCCAGCCCCCCAATTCCAGCGCCCGAAACAGTGTTGTGATTGCCGAGACCCAAAGCCGTAACGCCCGCCACTGGGAGATCGTCTCTCATCAGATCCCCCGAGGAGGAGGAGGAGGAGGAGGAGGAGGAGGAGGAGGAGGAAAAGGATGAGGAGGGGGGGGAGGAGGAGAGGAGGAGGAGGAGGAGGAGGAGGAGGAGGAGGAGGAGGAGGAGGAGGAAGGAGGAGAGGAGGAAGGAGAGACGGAGGAGGAGGAGGAGGAGGAGGAGGAGGAGGAGGAAAAGCAGCAGCAGGAGGAGGAGGAGGAGGACGAGGAGGAGGATGTGGAAGAGGGAGGAGGAGGAGCAGGAGGGAACGCTCCAGTCACGAAGCTAAAGTCTGACCAACGTCAAACAAAAAGAGATGATGATGAGGAGGCGGAGGAGGAGGAGGAGGCGGAGGCGGAGGCGGAGGAGGAGGAGGAGGAGGGGGATGAGGAGGAGGGGGTGGAGCAGGAGGAGGAGCAGGAGGAGGAGGAGGAGGATAAGGAGGAGGAGGAGGAAGAGGAGGAGGAGGAGGGGGAGGGGGATGAGGAGGAGGGGGAGGGGGAGGGGGAGGGGGAGGAGGAGGAGGAGGAGGAGGAGGAGGAGGAGGAGGAGGAGGAGGAGGAGGAGGAGGAGGAGGAGGAGGAGATGGAGGAGGAGCAGGAGGAGGAGACGGAGGAGAATGAGGAGGAGGAGGAGGACGAGGAGCTGGAGAAGGAGGCGGTGTTGCTCTTTTTTCATATTCTGGACATGCGAGGCCTTCAACTGAGCTCTGCCGCTCACGCGCAGCGAAGCCGCCGAGCTACCTGTTGACACGCCTTATCGCAGAGCCATCAGGCGACAGGCCAGGCCGCCGAGCTACTGGCCCAGCCGCTACGGAGGAGGATGAGGATGGTGAGGAGGAGGCATAGGATGTGGACGAGGATGCGGAGGAGGAACAGGATGACGATAATGATGCCGATGAGGCTGAAGATTATGCTACTGCTGATGATGATGATGACGATGCTGATGACGACGACGGAGATTCTGATGACGATGAATATGAGTATGCTGATGATGGTGATGATGCTGATGAGACTGATGCTGATTCTGCTGATGATGTTGCTGGTCATGATCATGACCATCATGATGATGCTGCTGATGATACACATGGTGATGCTGATGCTGCTGATGATGGTGCTGATGATGTCGGCGAGGATGATGACGATGATGATGACGATGATGATGACGACGATGCTGATGATGCTGATTCCGATGATGATGATGATGTTGATGAGGGTGCTGATAATGATGACGATGAGACTGATGATGCTGCGACTGCTGCTGATGATGATGCAGCAGATATGTATGACGATGATGCTGATGCTGATGCTGCTGATGATGATGTTGCCTATGATGCTGCTGCTGATGATG